TTATTGTAGACCTCATCTGTGATGTTCTCAGGTCCCATTTATGACAGTCTATGGGAAACACATTTCCTGGCTAAACTGCAGTTGTGAAGTTGTTGTCCATGGAGCTGTATGCTCACGGAACAATCTTTCTTACCTTGCCATTGTTCCTGTCTTGCTTTGTCTGGGTGTCTTTTTTTAACATAATCGTGACTATGAGAAAGTTCCCATCCCTATTATGTTAAAAGGAAGATTAAATGTTATTACTGAACAGGGATGACTTTTTCCAAAGTGATGCATAAATACCTCAAGTCAGCTGTGATATCACCAGCTGCAGAATCTGCTCCAAAGAATGGAGTACAAGGAAGGCTGGAAACTCAGGGTTTGAACCAGAAACCTCTAATAAACCTGTAATTTAACCCACTCAGATTCTAACTGAGAGCCCTTATTTTTCTGCATAGTTCTCTAACATTTCCCCCGAATGCCAGGAAGAAAAATAACACAACCAGGATTTTCCTTCTGTACTAAAGTAATGCCCAGTTTTCCCTCTCCTAAAAATATTTTGAAGTGCCATTTAAATTGTTGCTTTCTTTGAATTGACATCCCTATCTATTTGGCAACTTTTCATGGCCAAACATTGTAGAATTCTTTCCTCTCTGTTCTGAAAAGAACAGGTCAGTGATGCTGCACAGATATCAGATGTTACCAACATTTAAAATGAGTCTGAAAAAATCCCTCTGCCATCATCAGACTTCCTGGTCTGATGGAAAGTGCTTTGATTGCACATGGAAAATGAAACAACGTCTACTGCACTTACTGGAATGAGGAAACAGACAACAGGGAAGGTTTTTTAGTTCAACTCCAAATACAATTGTTTCAGGGCTCTAGCAGGGTGCTGTTCTGTTAGCTGATCAGTCAGAAGGCTTGAAAGAAACAGCTGTGTCAACAATCCATTTTTAAATTCTGATTCAGAGGAGCAAATCATCAGGTGTGCTTTGTCCATGTACCAAAATGTCTGTCCCTGGCATATGTTTCAGAAAAGTGGAAATCAGATTTCATTGGGATAGGCAAGATTCATTTATAACAGCAATTAAAAAAAATATTCGCATTTCCAAGGATTCTCTTCTGGCCAAGACGTTATTTGGGAAACTGCTAGCAGTTTTGTAAGATGTAACATTTTGGTTTATAAAGCAGTCTGTGATAATTGTTGAAATCAGACGTTGGGGTTGATCAGCTGTTGTTTTACCTTGTCTAGATGTACAGTGCACAGTCCTGCTGAAGTGGGGTTGTCCCGTTGTGGACAAGGGTCTAGCTTCTGTGTCAGCCACGCTTTTTTGGAATGAAACAGTGTGGCTCACAGAGATGTCAACACTCCAGTCAAGCTACAGGGAGTTGTGCCTTTTTTGCAGGTGCTGCAGGTGACTGCTGGCAGCGATCCCTGTGCAAGCACAGTGGCAGTGAGCCAGTGGAGCCACAAGTAACTGGAAGCACATCATTGCTTCTCAGACCTCTTTAGCCTTTTGTAAACAAGCGATCAGAGTCATTTTGTCAGGCAACGTTTGTGCACATCTCCACCAGTAGGGGGCGTGCACTCCAGGATGTCCTACTGGTTGCAGGTGTCCGAGGTGGCCCTGTGCAGGAGCTGATTAAGCCAGCTACACCAATAACATGGCTGCCTCAGCACAACTGCTGTCTGTCGTGCCGGGGCCCATTTAATTGGAGTCAAGTAAAGAGGCAGAGACGCACTCCGAAGGAACGAGTAGGTTTATTCCCTGCTGAAGGGAAGAAAGGAAACGCAACATTCCGGCTGTGGAGCCTTCTTCGGGTGCCAAGAGACACACTCCTCCTCCTCTCCTGGCATGTATCTGGGTGTGCTTTACATTGCATTCTGGGTGATCTGCAGAAACGCCAATAAGCCTCTCTACAAACATCCCCAGAAATGTGACTCAGGAAATACAGGGAATATGTTATGAGGCAGGAAGGGAAATGTATTAACCCCGTTTCCACTCAGTGCAGAAGGCAAGGAGCACCAGCTGTCTGTGCTACACGTGATCCAGGGCTCATCTGGAGAAAGAGTCATTCTTTAGAGTGTACCTCTTAAAACTTTTAAGAGAATTTCTCTCTCCTATCTCAAATACACACTATCTTGTTTCTGGTAAAATACAGGGGGTGTTCAAACCTCTGTGATTGTATTTAGAATTTAGCAAACAGACATATTTTTCTGTGTCATAAATGGTCAATTCAAATTCAAATCAAAGATTTCCATTCAAAAGCACTTTTAAAACTTGTCTCTGGAAGATCATTAACAGTTAAACCATTTCCACACTCCAGGAGACACAGCAGTCACACTGCATCAATAGTACTTAGAGAAACCATTCTGACTTAAAGATGTCACTTTTTCCAACCCTGAGAGCCATTATTAGTAATTGGAAGGAGAACTGTTGTTAGTGTAAGAGGGACAATGGGATCGCGTAGGAAGGAGGAGGACTTAAATCTGATTAGTTGGAGACAGAGAGCACTCTTAACTGGTGGAATTGTGATGATGCTAAGTTGTGAGTCTTTTCTAAAGTTGGGTTTTAATTATACACATAAATAGGTCATACACACTAGTATGGTTAAGGTGTCTCCCAGTGCTGTAGATATATGGTTTAGGATACCAATGTGTTTTCTGAGTTTGTTCTCCTTGTTCTCTGTATAACAAGATTTCAAATTGTAACTGTTTTTGCAGTTGTCTTCCTACTTGGTGCAAATATCATAATATTAGATGGGTTACCTATAATAATAGGAATTGTTAGTACTACCAGGCAACATAGTGGTGCAGTGGTCATCATTGTAGCCTTGCAGCACCGCAAACCTGGGTTCAAATCCAGACTTGGAGTGCTATTTGTGTGGAGTTTGCATGTTCTCCCCATGTTTGCATGGGTTTCATCCAGGTCCTCCAGTTTAATCCCACAGTCCAAAGACATATCGGTGGGTTAATTGGCTTCTGGGAGAACTGGCCCTGGTGTGAGTGTGTGTGTTTCTGTCTGTCTGCCTGCGATGGACTGGTCTCCCATCCAGGGATGCCATGCGCTGGTTGCTTTCTGGGATAGACTCTGGCACCCATGACCCTGAATAGAGTGGATTGATGTATAGTATGACCATGAATATCAATAAGAGTAGACACTGTCTAAACACTGCTCTGTACTGGCAGATACATGTTCCCCTGCTACCACTGCCCATGGCAAGGGCTAAGCTCTGTTGGGATATTGATTGAGTTCAGTTCTCATTCTATTGCAAGAATACAAATGTTCAAATGTTTCTTGAACTTTAAAAAAAACTGATATACTGATGAATATCTATAAAACATAATGGCATGTCTATGAAGCTCATTTAGAAAAGCATGTTTTTAAATTTACTGTGAAGTATGAAGGTGAAAAGAGACAAGCTCAGAAAGAGCTGTGCTCATCTGTCCATACAAAATTGATCCAAAACTCATCTTTGTGCTTCCAAGCAAAGAATGTACTTAAGACAAAACTGAAGACTGAACACCCCTAGAACTCAAGGTGTGTGCAGCAGAAGCTTGGCAAAGCATTTCAGATGATTGCACAAACAATTTGGCGAGCTCAATGGGACATCTGTTTCTTAAAGTTATTGCCTCCAAAGAATATTGACCTTCATACTTGTAAATTGACTTAAAGTAAAAGTGCCCCAATACTTCTGGTCACTTGAAACCACTGGGTTGAACAATGATGTATTTGTTCTAATATGATCAAAGGTATGCATGGAATTAACCAAAATAAAAATCATATTGCAATTATCATTCTTATTAATTTCATGATCACAAATTTTAATTGTTTGACTGTCAAGCAAAAATAATACTTTTGAGCTTGTATTTAGCATGCTGTCAGAGGGCACATTACATTCCTGTTTGGCACTGAATTCAGGAGTTAGGATTGATTTACCTGTTGTGCAGTGTATACTGCTATATTCCGTTGTAAAATGTATAACTATGTTATTAATACCGCAGACATAGCTTCTACAATATAAAGCTAATATACATCTATATTACACTTTTTAAATGATGTTGCACCACATTCTAGTTGCGAAGGATTATTAAAATGAGCACCTTACTGAACTCTCCAAAACCGGATTTATATGAAGAGCTCTAATATCAGTTCAGAAAGTCGAAGATCTCTTAAAATCTTTCTCTAATTTCACACCCGCAAAACCTGAAATGCATTTTATGTCGCTTGACGTACCAGTGTTTAGTTGTTTCACTTTAACCTGTACAGAACATCAAAGAGAGATATAAAGAGGAGAAATAATCTTCTGGTAGATTATCCAATACCCAGTTAAAGCATTAGAACAAATATGCTTAGTGATCTTTTTCCCTTTCAACTGGGGACGAAGAAAGCGAGCGACTTCCACACCTTTCTTTTAAAGAGGAAAACTAAACTTTGAAACGAATTGGAATTTCAATTCTACGTTTCTTCGGAAGAAGGAAAATGAAAGTACCCAAGCAAGTCCTGTCGCTTTGGGTGGAAATCTACTGCCGATTTGAACACATCGGCTGATCATGCTGTTAAGCCCAGTGCCTTCGACTCTGGTGTCCTCTCCACGGGATGTAAACTGGATAATTTCTTTCCCGTCAATAACTGGTTAAGAAGGCTTTTGTGAAGCAATAGCTGGTAAACCTCATCATTAGAAAAGATATTCCTCGCCCTCCTTTCCCTTGTTTCTACGCAGCGACAAACGCCTTTGAAAGTCGTCGAGCACTCCCAATCTTTTGTCAGGCAAAATAATTGTCGCGGTGGTACTAATTACCGCGAGTCTTCAATTAACGGTGGGAAGGTTGGACATCCTGTCTAAAGAGTTTGACACAGAGTTGATGTGGATTCCACATCTCGGGACAAAAGCTGCGGGCTCACCTTTTCACTCCCGATAAAAAGGAAGGGACTGGTGTTAATTCAGCGCCACCTTCTTCATTGACAGGGGCTGCCGCATTAGCAAGTGCCGGGACTCAAATAAAGAGCTTTAACAAGGCGGGGCGACAGATAAGTGTATTAGAAAGTACCGAGTTGATTCCATTACCAGCCACTCCTCTTCTTTCGAATTCCTTAAATGTGAATTTACCCCCATTTGAATCAGTATCATCACTGCGCATGAGGCAAGAGTAACATTACTACAGTTTACTCAAAGCCCAGCATATACACGCGTCCTACAGTGACGAAGTTGAGCGCATGTTTTCATTGTATTAGCCTGTTATACGTACTATAGTTTCATTTTGAGAGCTCACAGGGCATAATTGAGTGGTTTTCTCACGGTACTGTTCAAAGAGTACAGTTTCACCTGTGCAATGCTACACGGCGAAGGCACCCTTTAAAATAACAGTGCTGGGAACTGGACACAAGGTAGCTCCGTGTGAGTCAAGTGTGTCTTGTTAGTGACCGACGGTAGCCATGCGTGCTGGCGAGCCTGTGACTCGGGTGAACTCTTGCGAGCTGGTCTCCAGCCAGCTCCAGTAGCCAGGGCGCCATCCTTTTAAAGCAGTCGTGAGCTGTTCCAAGGTGACACCAGTCCCCCTGCTGCCCACCTACTTACCGGACCCCCCGTTGTCCCAGGCAGGGGGAGGGTCTTCCCCCCTCTCGTTTTTCACCTTAGCTGCGACCACCGAGTGTGACCGAGCTGCGCGGGAGGCGTCGAACAGGACTTTAATCCGGACGCGTCCGCGGACGAGCGCTGACAGTCCGCACAGCCCCTGGATGTCAGAGAGGCTACGGCGCTCATCAACTTTTAATCCACCCTCTCGCGTTTCTGTCAATAGATGTGAAAGACGGCGTGTCTTCGTGGTTGCGTGCATCCAGCCTCACGGAGTCTGTAAAAGAAAAAAAAAAAGAACAGATAATGGAATTTACGGACTCGCCAGGAAGCACAAATTGGAAATTGGAAATAATCACTTAACTTAATCACTTAACCTAGCCCGGCTTTACCGACGTGTTGACCTGCGACTGATGCTCCCAGCCTTTCTCTCGGATGATTCTGTGCAGGTCTGGTCTACGTGAGGACTTCGTGGACTACAGAAAGCTCGAATTTGAATGCTTTTTTTTAAAAAAAAAAAACGGAATTAAGAGTTTTCGACCATTTGAATTGTAACGGTACCGGACGGCGGTCAGGAGCGCGAGTCTTTAAAGGCGCAAAGCCACGCGACACTTGTGTTCTCGAGTTGTTTCCTATTTAAATTGCTAAAATTCAAAATTTAGCTGCCACGCTTGAATACAGAACTTCTGAAGGACACAGGAGGATGCAGGGGGCGAAGAGGCGCAACGTTTTAATGTAAGCAAGGCCGTTTTTCTCTTGCTGTTCAGGCTCTAACGTGTAATGTAAATGCAAAGATGACTTTTTCCTTAACGCTCTTCTTTTTGAATTCGCAGATTCTTTCATTTTCTAGCGCTGTGGTGTAATGCTCAGGTATGATACGTTTTTTTTATTCTGAAAATGAACATGTGCATGTGTACAAAATGACATAAATGCATCTTTATCCTTTCCCTTAAGTTTGCCTTTAGCTACCTATCGCTATACCTATACCTTGCGCTCTATTTTTTTTTAAAACGTCTTTTTTGTGTCTGGTGGTGTAGTTTTATTTGAAACACCGCTGTCGCCTACAATAAGGTAGAGTATACCTTATTATACTCTAGTAGATAGAGTATAATAGAGTATAATGGCGTGTTCTAAACACAAATCCATACTACTGTAAATTACTTCTTATGGTAATGGCGCTGTGGATTCTGGTAGTATTGACTATAATAGTTATATTTGTAAAATACAATTACCACGGTCCCTCTGTTGTTGCCTTCCCGTTTCTCACCATCTTTCTGATTTTGTTTTCGCCGGGGGAGGTAGCGTGGACTTTCTTACAGTATCCCGCTTGTGAGAGATACCACACAATATCTCTCAAACTTGTACACTCTCCTGACCTGACCCCGGCGCCTTTTTCTAGCGTTAGAAAAAAAAAATGTCGTTTTATTTTTCCCTTTGCAAATGCAAAAACCCAAAGGGGGAGAATCACCCGTCTCCTAATTTTAACCAGTATGTGAGGGAGCAGGGCGCCCTAACCGACCAGGTGAGCCGGAGACAGGTTCGCGTCTACCAGCTGTACAGCCGGACCAGCGGCAAGCATGTACAGATTCGCGGCCGGAGGATCACCGCCACCGCGGAGGACGGAAACCTGTTCGGTAAGAACAAGCTCTTTGGCCCGGTGACCCGCCTGGGTCTGATGGCACCCGGAGCCGCTCGCCCGTTCCTCACAAGCTAGCTACATCGGGGCTTCATCGGGGTGGGGGGTGGCCATTAGCTTCCCTGCGTCTCTCAGCCTCTCCAGCAGTTTGAAACCCGTGGAAGAGAGACGGGTCGGGCTAGTTCAACCCGAACCGGACCGGTTTAACGCTTCTGTGAAGGCGAGGAGCCGTTGGCAGCTCACGCAGACGGAGAAAACCCATCGGGAGAGTTGCGCTCGCTTGACCAGTAAATGATCAATTAATACGTGAAAGACTGTGTTAATGAAAGACTTTTGTGACCAAAACTGAATTCTGCTTTGGAGAACGGCGTGGAAACACACGGCGTTTGCTGCAGTAAACCCGTGACAGGAGAGTGATATTTAAAAATAGTCATCATTTTTTAAAAGCAATTACGTTTTTTTTTTTTTACGCAGAAAGCTTTAAAAAGGTTGATTGTCTTTTTTAAAGCCTTTGAAAGATAACAACATTCTACCACCTTTTATGTGTCGGATATTCAACGTATTTTGAATCACAGTTTTATATTAGGATTCATTTAATCGCCTTTTTAGTTTAAAATTTGAGTGCGAAGTCTCCCTTGGGATAGGGTTATTTCTGTGGGAAAATATATTCTGGAAGGAGCCTCTTAGTGTCGGACGCTAACGTCTTATTGCAAAAAAGTGATGCCAATTGCAAAAAACAAACTTCATGAAGAATCCTAATCCACTGGGTAGAAAAGCGTGTGTTTCTGATCGCCATGCTTTCAGACCGTCTTAATTGTGGGTTTGACAGGTATCCGATATGACTAATGAACACTGGTACTCTCTCCTCTGCTCAGACTGATGTCCTTATTCATCAAAGCTAAGAACACTCAAAACGTGGACCGTTTAAAAAAGTTTTTTTTTTAAAAAAACAAAACAAACTCCCATCAGGCCGAATCCAGATCAGTGGTGAAACTGGAGTAATTAGGGGGAGGGGACTTTAAAGGTCTTAGAGATACCAGGGTAGTGCCAAACACAAGTGCCCCCAGATGATTTTAAATTCCTTTCGAGACCAGCATAATGGAGGGAGGGCTGTGCTTTGAAATAGCACAGCTAGAAGCTGGTGTGTCTATCATTTCTCAACCACTTTTAATTGGCCGATAAGTATTTTTTAATTGCCCAGCAGTAACCAGGTGTGTTTCAAATAAAAGGTTTGAAAGCCCCAAGCCAGTAGAAGTAACCATCTTTAAGAACGCTTGGAGCGCCTTTCACAACCCCACCCAATTAATATCCGTATGTTTTTAGTGTTCGTTGCCTTTTCTGACACGACACAAGATGTGCCAGTCTGTCTGCGGCGACCAAAATCTACTTTACAAAATGTTCCCCCGGTTTCTATTTCTAACCCATGTTAGGATTTCAAGGCATCAAGTGAAACTCATTTTAAAAATCAATTCCTAAGAGTTTTTCGTTTCTTTGAATTTGAAATGTCACCCAGAAGCAGTTGACATGGGCATCGTGCCATGCGGTTTAAAGTGTTACCCTCTTTGAACTGACACATATCCTGCAACGATAAATGTGTAAAGGAAACTATTTGGAAGTGTCTGTATTTGCAC